GTGAAAATCACTTTCACCCCCCCCCCCCTCCCCCAACTTTAAAGAAAATCTTAAGGAGTTGGAGCATATTTGATACGGGTACTTTCCATCTGAGCAAAGTTATTCATTATTTGTGAGGGTCAAAAACAGCAGATACTCACTGAAATAGTTAAGGTTCACGCAATCATATGAAATGTTACTTTTTGTTAAGAGATTTAGTTTTTATCTTGTTTTATGGTTAAACTATTGGGAAATTACATAAATCTCATTAGTTTAGGTCCTAATTACTAGAATTCCTGGTAGTTTCAAATATTAATTCATCTACCCTATTTTGTTCTTAGGAAACATGAGTCTGAATCCACTAGATACATGTATCTGTCAAATTTTAAACTCGAGATACATATTTTATTAATCTATTTTAATTGTTTGTAAGTGATTTCCTTAATTAAAGGAGTAATTTAGGATTTTTAAAATACATGACAATTAATTCTATAAATTTAAATCAAAATGATTTTTTTAATATAAGGCGGAAATTATAACACCCCGAAAATTTTTAAGTTAGACTCGAACCATTTTTCATTTACTTGTAGGGTCATATCGGGTGATTTTTAAATTGCTCATATGTGAAAAGGTAAATTCTTTAGTGTGGGAATGATTTTGGATATCAATTAAGGTCACTAGAAATTCCTAGCACAAAGTTGAGTTGAAAGTTTCCTTACCGATTAAGTTTTGATGTAAGATTCTACTTGGATCAACTTCAAACTACCATATCTCTTAGAATATAAAGAGTTACGTGGCCATAACCTATCAAATTAAAGGTATTTTAATCTTCTTTTCAACGCCACTAATTTCGCGTCAAACCAATTTTTGATTAAAAAGTTATGACCATTTTAGTAACCTGATACAATGTTGTGACGAATTAGCCGACGAGAAAACATTAAAAAGGGTCGTTTTTATCTTTTTACCTCTAAGAAAACCCTAAATGAATTTCTTGACTAATTAAAGATCGGAAACAATCAGATTTTCATCTCTTAATCCATCATTCTCTCTCTCAAACCCTAAGGAAAAACCAAAGTAGAAGACTCCATTTAAGATTCTTTCAATCTTTTTCAAGATTATTCTTCATGGTAAGTCTTTCTCCAAGAATTTCATTCTTTCCAACTCAAATTATGAATCACTAATAAAAATCATAATTCTTGGCCATAGAGATTTCAAGAAAGTAATTCAAGAATCTCAAGAAAGGTTTTCTTGATTTTTCTCCTTCAAGCTAGGGTTTCAAGGCTTCTAATCAAGTTCTTCTTCAAGAACCTTATTCTTTCAAGTATGTAAGGCTATCATAGTATTGTACTAGTTCGTCCTCACGCCCTACATCTACTTTCAAATCAGTAAAAGAGTAATCTAGGATTCTATCCCTGGATTTGAGTATTCTTGAGATATGTTGATTTTGAGGTCTTGAGTTCCTGTTTCTTTTTAAAATTCTATTCCTTATTATTGATTTTTATATGTTATGCATTTAAATTCTTGAGTTAATTCGTCATGTCTATATTTCAGCATGAACCCTATGAATTGAGTATTTTTTAGAGGAGAAATATCATTGAGTTATGAGTTTCGAGTTCTTTAGTCCTGAGTTATGAGTACTGAGTTTTTTTTATTTCTATTAAGATCCCTGAGTTGAGTTGTTGATCTCCATAATTCCACGTGAACCCTATAATTTGAGTTATAAAGTTTGAAAATCCTTTTAAAGTCAACACTTTAGTTCTTAAACTGAGTTTTGAGAAAGTAAAGATGAGTTTTGAGAAAAGAGTTTCTAAAACATGATTAGTATGACAATCGAGTATGTCATCAATGTTTAAGCAATATGGTATCTAGATATACCATCAATGTTTATGCAGTATGACTTCCCGAGTCATCAATGATCATATTATAATATGATTTTGAAATGTTTTTGAGAAAGGGTTTTCAAGTATGAGTATAAGGGGACTATGTATTTCCAGAGCATCAATTTTTACATTGATAAAAGAGAAACTGAGATTTCTAAATGAGTTATGAGTTCAAAAGTTATTTCAAGAGTAGTTACCTCTTTTAAGAGGGTAGTTTGAGCAATTATCCCAAACCAGAGAAAGAGATATGATTTTTTAAAACATATGAAGATGAGTATATATTATTGGGAGTAATATTGAGCACTGATATGGGGGAGAGTACAAACAACTCACAGCCCCCATAAACCATGTATGCCAACATGGGTAAAGGGTCATACTTTTTACATGATTCTTTATTGCTTTTTAAGCATAGCTTAGTGGTTCCACTTAGTTGAGGATGTTCTATACCCCGTCAAGGTATAAGACAGTTTTGGAAGCGTGGGAGAGACGTTGTATCATCACGTAGCTCATAGTGATGGTTGTCAGTTACAGAATATCCCAATAGAGTTAAAGTGTATTTTTATACATCACTTATTATGTTGAGTTCAGAGATGAGAATGTATTTTGTAAAGTTTTAAATGATTTAACTCTTTTATTTCTTTACGTTCAGCTTGAGTACATTGTTATCTATTTTAGCCCTTTCATTCACTTATTTGTTATTCAGTTATATTACATAATCGTACATTCAATGTACTGATGTCATTCGACCTGAATCTTTTAATGATGCAGATACAAGTTCTTAGGATCCTCAACAAGAGTCCGTTGAGATCATTCCATCAACTTTTGAGTAAGACCTCCTTGCTTCTGGAGGACTTCAGTTTTTATGAGTTGCTACTAGTAGTTCTCTTGAGGAGTCGTGGGTCTTGTCCTAACACTCATCCTTGTATACATTAGAGGCTTCATCGCTAGACAATTTTGGAGAGCCTTTCAGTTTCAGATGTTTTATTAAAAACTAATGTTTCATACTCAATATATTCAGCGAATGTTTGAGATTCAGTAAACTGTTTTAAACATTTCTTTCAATTTGATGCTTATGTATGCTTGAGTTAGTCCTTGTAGTCAGCCAGAATAAGGGTTCGTTTGGGGACCAGCAATGGTTCTCGAGTGTCGGCCACGTCCAAGGTGTAGGCTCAGGTCGTGACAGAAATCAAGGAGTGTATCTATGTTTAATTAATTTTATTTTATTATTTTTTAATAATAAATTAATATTATTAATAAAAGATAAAAACATGTATATATTGGTCATGTAATTTGATTTGTTTCATTTTATTACTCTTAAAATAATGAATTTATTAATTTGATGTATCTATTATCAATATATAATGTATCCAATAAATTAAACACTTAGATGTATGAGTATCATACAAGAACAAATTGCGTCAAATACATGCGTAAATTTTCAATAATGCGTAAATCTTCAATAAATTCATTAGATAAATACATACTTAATAAGTTATACTGATAAAAACTAGATACATATAATCGTATCTCAATAATGTGTCCAATACATGCGTAAATCTCCACTTATTGAAACTTTTTGATACGTTCGTGGGTGGTCAGAGCATCTCACCGCAGCAGTGTTTGCTTCACCTTTTGATTCATCAGTGTTGCTCACTGTGCCTAGATCCGACAGGAGAAGTGACGCAAAGTTTCTTGGTTGATCTATGCAGTACCATTGTTAATGTCGAATTTGATAAATCTATTGGTCTTGAAATCTCTGCTTACAACGATACCCATTGTCTCTGTGCGCGAGAGGTGTCTCCCCTTGCGAGAAAAAATGGTGAATTCGTGGGATTGGTTTGAGAGTGAGATAATCAAAGGCTAAGATTTTGATGTGTGTGTTGACAAGTGGTAGAACATATATTTTAATAGAGTGTTTCTTCACAGTAAATTTCGATTGATTAAGGGAAGAGGAAGAGTTAGAGTTTGACTCTAACTCATACTCATTGTATTTATTAAAACACTAATTTTGGAGTTTAAATGTTAAAATAATTAATCAATCCTAGTTTTAAGGGATATGGGTATTGATTGTATCTTCAATAATAACTAACATTATTAATTGATTGAATCGTTCTGTTTTTATTAAATTTCGACTAGATTTCAAACCGAAATTAATTCAATTTGTTTTTGTTTCGTAATCAAATCAGTATAAAATTCTAAAATAATTAAATTAATTGATAAATTCATATTATAAAATTAAATTACTTTATCTAAATAATATTTTTCGCTTTTCGAGATTAAATCTGCTTAATTTTGACAATAAATTTGGACATATAATCTTTTAGTTTTCTAAATGAATTTCAAATATTTGAAAACTACATTAAAAAAAAAGATATTATCAATTATAATAATTCAAAATATTAAAAATGCATATAAAAAATTATGGTAAAATATAGTTCATTTTTTAAATCCATTCGTTGTCAGACCGTCAATTTCATAGAAAACTGAATTGTCAAATAACCAATATCAAAAAATAAAAAAATCAATATATTTTCCTGTAGCCAATCCCTTTGCATTAACATATTTTCCCGTGCAAGCCATAACCGCAAGATGTGATTACCTCAGGGGTGTTGACATAATGTAATATTTAAATGATTAAAAATTTTAAAATAATTAAATTAATTTATATGCAATATATAAATTCAAAATATTTAAAATGCATACGAAATATTGTGGTAAAAAAATAGTTACAGTCTACGCTAAATTTGCCTATAAAACAAATCGTTGTATATTTGATTAAAAAAAGTTACCATAAAAGTAAATTGTCCAAGTTTATTTTTGGTAATATATTCAACTAATGACCCAAAAAGAACTTTCATACTTGCCAATTCACAATGCCTAAAGTAATCCGTTCCTTTTCCCAATATTACTAGGAATAATACTATTTTCTCCTTCCTTTCCTTTTTTTCACATGGATTTCAAGTCCTATACAAATTAGGAATATGGTTATTGACATCTCTATATAAGGTAGGCGGTAAAGTTGCACCATCCTACTCGGCCCCTTCTTGTGAGATTGTATTGAATTTGTTGAGGTTGTCATATAAGCAATAAGTTTTGTTTCTCTTTTTGTTGTCAAAACCTCTCTATATTATTTGTTCAGATATGGAGAGGGATAACAAACTAAATCCACCATGGTTGGAACCTCTACTAGATATTGATTTTTATGGACATAATTGTATATGTGAGGTACATAATCAATATTGTACATTTTTTTGTAAAAAGTGCACAAACAAACCTCTTTGTGAATCATGTTGGAGGGTAGATGCAGAAGCTGAACATGAACTTCACCTATTTTTACAGGTACATAATCCTTCACCAAAACATAAGAGGGGGGAATTTTCTTTATATATATATATATATATTGGCAATTATTTCTTAGAGCTATATTTTTAATTATCTCTTCTTCTATTTTAACATAATGCAGATATTTAAAGTATCGGAAAAAGCATCCGTTCGAAAAGCTGATATAGAAAGTGAGGTAGATGTTAGGAAAATTCAGCCATATATAATAAACAATCACAAAGTTATATTGCTGAAACCAAAAGGAGGAAACGGGGGAAATCCCAAGTGTGTCATATGCCAAGGAAAAATAAAGGATGAATTCTATCAATATTGCTCTATTTCTTGCAAAGTAAGTACAGTCGAACTTCGTTATAATAATGTCGTTTGTTAGAATAATTTTTTGACTAATGATATTATTATGTAAAACATATAATATATTGCAGATTATTGGAGATATAGACCAACTCGAAATTGTTGAAGAAAATGGCCCACGAAAAAGAAGAAAGAGAAGGCCCTGTAGATCACCTTTGTTTTAGAATGATACTTACAATTCAAATCAGATTACTTACTGTAGAAGTGAGGCTAGGGTTTTCATTTTTAGAATATGATGATTACTAGGGTAATTTGGGTTCTAAATTTGTTTACATGTTTAATGGATTTCTCTAACACAAGGCCATATCTACTCAATTTCACATACCACACATAGGCGTGTTCACAGGTTGATTGGATTGGTTATTGGTCAAAACCAAAACCAAACCAACTTAATCGGTTGTAAAATTATCAAAATCAAACCAAACCTAATATAATATATATTTATTGATTTCGGTTCGATTTGGTTCGATTATTAACCATATACATAAAATTAAAAAGAAATAATTTATTCAAAACATGAAAATAGTTACAATAATCCATTCAAAATAAAAAATAATTAGAATGACTAACACTATAAAACTTTCGATCATTGAATTTACTATGAATAAAGCTTCAAAATTCACTAGTTTTGTCCTAGAAGGAAGAGACATTGACATTTTTAGTCCCACAAAGAATTGTCATAGACACTCATATACATGAAACCAATAAGATAGAAGTTCTTACCTTGGACATTTTTACTTTCATAAGTAAATTACAAATAAATTTTGATGAATATATATATAAGATTTTTAAAATTGTTTATAAAATAGTATATTATATATGTATAATAATAAAATTTATGTGTATTATTTATCGGTTTGGTTTGATTATTTCTTTGATTTTTTTCTAACAAAACCATAACCAAACCAAACCAAATACTATCGATTTTTTAAAAATCTAAAACCAAACCAAACCAAACCCTAAATAAAATCGGTTCATTTAATCAGTTTGGTTTGATTTTTTGGTTTGAATCGATTTTTATCCAAACCGTGAACACCTCTAACCGCATATATTGTACATTATTTAAGCAAAAGCTATTGAATTCCAACTAGTTATGCACACACATGAATATTTCCCTTTCTCGTCAATTGTAAGTAATACCATCAACTTAGGGGTCTAATTTTCGCACTAAACACATAAGGGTGCTTTATCAAGAAGATGTATCCGGATTAATTTCTGGCAATAAAGAAAAAGTCTTCATATACAATCTTATTGGTAGCAAGAAGATCAAGTTTCTAACCAACCTGCGGTAAATTTTCCATATATCCCAGTAAATGCATGATTTCTTCGATGAAAAAAATTCAAAAAATCAGATAAGTTTTACTGTTGAATTTGTTTTATTCTAAAACTAGTATCAAACAACAAAGGCTGCTGAGAAAACCCAGCTTGCCTTTAAGATAGAGAAAGGCATCATCATCTGGGAATAATGCATGCAATTGCTAGTTTACCAACCAATTGAACAAGGAAAATAAGTATGATGTGCTCTCTACAGAACAAAACCTTCTAATACACATTAACAAAAATGCAATAACGCAAATTAATATGGACAGACTGAATATTTCAATACCTTCATCGCGAAGAGGCTGTGAAGTGTTTGACATTACACTGTCACTAGAGCTGCAAGGTAGCAAAGAAGACATTTAACAAACACTTTCATATGGTAAGTTATCTTTCATGGAGATGCCCCCGTGATTGACATCCATAGCAGGAGATATCCATGAACAGAACGCATATATGCTTCGGACAAGTTTCTTCAGCCAATAAGACTCAAAAGTTATGTCCAAGCGCTATGATGATTGGATCCTCTAAAAATTGCTGCTGCATGCATGTCAGATCCTCCAAAAACACAACGATTATGCATTTTTGGAGGATCCTCACGGGTGCAGCGGCATTTATTTTTAGGATCCAAGCAACCTAGCGTTCAACCATCAGTTCCCATAAAGACTCCTTGCCGTTACATAATTAAGAAAAATTCACATACCTCAAATAACTCAGACCCTTTTCCCAACAACGAAGAAATAAGTACCCCCAGAATGCTAAAAAGGACAAGTTACACTTCTAACCCACCTTGTTAAATAACAGCAAGCAGACACATGACAAAAGAAAATATATTTATGGTAAAATCATCACAATGCATGAATTCACTCTGTAGAGCTTTGAAAACAAAAGGAGCCAGTTCTAAAGGAGAATCTGGATTACCACAGGCCATATGCATAGATTAGAGTAGTCTATTTTTACGGAGGCATTACCTGAAAGCTCCTTCCTATTTCAATACAAAAGTGAAACTGAAGTTTTGTGAGAATAGGGAATGATTCAGACACTAGAAGAAAAAGTTTAAAAAGGGGAAATGAAAAATCAAGTGTGGCAAACAAATTTGAAGTCATTCCCTAGAGAAAAATCCATGTAACTGATCTATTAATCCAATGAAAGATGCCAATTCAACCCAGCAGGGAGTAGTTCGATTACACAACAATGTGCACCCTATCACATGATGATCTAGAATTAAATGATAAGAAGATCCAAACTTCATTATAGGAATTTGACATGCAATATAGGGCAATTATTATACTCAAAATTATGAGTATATCAAGATTACTAAGAATATAATTTTAAAAAAAAATTGCAAGACAAACATAGTATTTTTCCATGTTCCAAAACAAAAAAAACTCATCTTGATGCTTTCTTGGTGGTAAATTATCATATTATGCAGGCATGTCTATAGTTCTACATCCGATTATCAAATGGTTATAGATTGGTTTAATAGCCAATTAGTTGTGTCCTACTTTGTCGATCTTTTATCAAAACATGGTTATGCACATTTCTAGTAAAGTTATGGTGTTGAAACCAAAAGAACATGTCTCAGACAAGTTTCTTCAGCCAATGAGACTCAAACTTATGTCCAAGTGCTATGATGATTGGATCCTCTAAAAATTGTTGTTGCATTCATGTAGGATCCTCCAAAGACACAAAGATTATGTATTTTTGGAGGATCCGTCATGGATGCAGCGACATTTTCTTTTAGGATCCGAGCAACTTGTAGAAAAAAACTCCTAGCCGTTATATAATTAAGAAAAGTTCACATACCTCAAATAACCCAGACCTTCCCCAACAACGAAGAAATAAGTATACCCAAAATGCTAAAAAGTAAGAGTTACACTTCTAACCCACCTTGTTAAATATATCAAGCAGAAACATGATAATTGGAAATATATTTAAGTAAAAATCATCACAATGCATGAATTCACTCCGTAGCTTTGAAAACAAAAGGAGCCAGTTCTAAGGAGAATCTGGATTACCACAGGCGATATGCATAGAGTAGTCTATGAGAGTGGCATTAGAAAAAGGCTATTTTTACGGATGCATTACCTGCGAGTCCTTCTTATTTCAATAAAAAGGTGAAACTGAAGTTGTGAGAATAGGAATGATTCAGACGCACTAAAATAGTAACAAGAGACGAAAATAGGCATTGTAAGAGAAAATTCAAGTGAAGCAAATAAATTTGAACTCATTCCCTAGTGGAGGAAATTTCTAGGTTGTCACTTGTCGTGTATGACTTGTTTCTAATCACCATTGTTCCTATTGTTTACTCAGTAAAAGAAAGGGAGAAAACCCTATATAACTGATCAATTAATCCAATGAAAGATGTCAATTCAACCAGCAGGAGTAGTTAGATTACATAACCGCGGGCACCCTATTACATGATATGATCTAGCATTAAATGATAAGAAGATCCAAAACTTCATTAAAGGAATTTGACATGCAATATGGTGCAATTATTATACTCAAAATTATAGATAAGTATATCAAGATTTAAGTATGAAATACAATTTAACATTTTTGCAAGACTAGTATAGTTTTAAGCATGTTCCAAAATGACGAAAGTAAAACTCGTGTAACTTGATGCTTTCTTGGTATTCGATCATTATGCAGGTGTGTCTATAGTTCTACATTCCATTATCAAATGGTTATTGATCTGTTCTATAGTTGCAATTAGTTGTGTCCTACTTTGTCGATCTTTTATCAAAACATGGTTATGCACATATTTCTTATAAAAGTTATCTAAGAGGTAAGTGCTTGTACCCAAACATAGACAGCAGATTAGATTTTAACTAAATTATCATTAACCTTCACGGTCAGAACTTACAGTTATTTGTTGGTAGTTGGTAATAAGGGTCTGTGGACCCCTTAGAAAGAAACTACTGGAGCTGTTTTCTAAAGCACACGGAGGCGTCTCCAATACCTCCTTTGACCTACCTACAAGGGGAAGATTGGAAAGATGGTCACCCCAAATATCATAAGTAAACTTTTCCTCCATACCCATCTTTTCATCAGTTTTAACTGCCATCTGATTTGGAGGTTTAGATCCAGGAGCTCGTAAATGAGGAGCAATTACAGAACTTGAAGCCAATACTGGTTGACGACACATCAAGTGAGGAGCAGATTTATCAGCACAAGGGAAGGTTGCTGAAGGCAGAAGAACAGGTTTGCTGGCTGATCTTTTAGGTGCAGCAGGCTTCTCTTGAGGAGGACAAGAATTTTTTCCACCATCCGTTAATGTTACCTCTCTCTGCAAGACATTCCTCTGAGATACAAATTCGGGGTGTATACTTTTTTTACATTGATGATTACCAACATCAGCAAAGGAATTGATGAGCTTAACAGGTCGATCCACATCAGCAGACTGTGGAGATGGCCGACGAGGTGTTGAATTTGAGGTAGGAGACAGGGGTGACGATGGTGTAGAATTGCCACTATGACTACTTGAAACATCAAAAACTCCAACCAAAGCAGTCGTAGAATTCTTTCTCTTCTTCCGCCTCCTCCCTTTTTCTTTTGCAATTTTGACAGTGAGATTACCAGCTTTTGAGGTTTCATATATATTAGAACTCTGAATTGCTACCGACTTTGCAGAGGATGACACCTCCATTCCCTTTTGGGTATCTGATACAGAGTTATATCCTGCACAATGATTCACATTCTGATCAGTTACACTTAGATTTTGGGAGACAGCTTGAATATCTTCACATGTACTGAAACTTTCAACTGACAGAGCCTCACCTTCCCCAATTGACCTAAGCAAACCGTTCAATTTAAAGGAGAAGAGGAACTTGCCAATCTGTTTCTCAGTGGGATGCATGCGAGACAATTTTCCAGTATGACTAACAGATGTCATATAGCTTTTTCCACTCTTAGGCAAGCACTCATGGGAGCCAAATGCCACCACTTGGGGTATGATGCACCAAATAACCAGAAAGAATAAAGAAGTTAGAAAAAGAATTGTGACGAGCAATTTCTTCACCCTCGTCCAGAACAAAGACCTCTTGCAGAAATGAAGCACACAGATAGGAAGACTAGCTTTCATTGGTATAACAAGTATACCAGTTGCCAAAGCCAGTTCAAGATCTCTGTGTATAGTGGCAGCAGAAAAATCAGTATGATATGATATCACAAGCTTTATAGACTCCTCAGGTTCAAGAGAAAAGCCTTTACAACCATTTATCACGAACCCATCTGTTCCACACTCTGTTCCAGAGATTTCAATTTTTTTGACCTCCAAGGGAAAGTCCCCACGTTCTTTGCATGAAGCTCCTTTGACAATGACAGGGAACATGCATGAAATTTATCCTTCATGTTATATAGCACATCCGAAGAAGAGAGATTAAGAGGGGTTGACATGTTTAATTTGAATTCCAAGTTCTGTACAGGTTCAGACGCATCAAGCAAGACCAAAGAAAGCAATCCCCCAGATCCTTTGAGAGTTAACCACTCCACACCAGAAAGATTGTTCCTGAGCAAAGCTGAACTTCTCCACTGACATCGAGCTGCAGGTTGAAATAAAATTGGACCAAATGATGCTTTACTAAAAGGGTGAAGAAGTGCTTCAGTTACTGCATTCTCTGCTAGCGAAAAACCGTATCTCTTTGGAGCAATAGAATAGTTAGCAACTATTCTACTTGATAGAGAAGGCTGCAAATGGCTTCCTGAAGTCTTGCACTCATCAATAATTTCCCAGGAGTTTAGAACAAGCTGCACCAAGATTGGTTTTTGACTTGGGTTTTCTATTGTGATCCACTGAGAGTGATAACTTCCAACTTGAATCACTGGAAACACTACTTCACTTTCATCCAGTACGGACATGCCATTAGCAGTAGCATGAGATTTCCAGTTCTTCAATACCGACTCATCTGCCATTGTTGTATCCACAGCCTTCAGATTAAATGGATAGAAAAATCAACAATCAGGAGCTAATTCTATATACATCTGTACTAAACAAAGGCATGCGACTGATACAGTACTGACAATTATTTCAACTACAGGTACATTCAAATTAAGAAAAGCTAAAACAAAGTGAAGCTTAACATGAAATAAATACGACTCAGAAGTACAACTCTGCTGAACTAGTAAAAACAGTTCACTATGGACATTCCATATCATTTCTGCTAAATTCTGTGGGAGTTGTTACACTGATTCAAGCATAATAAATCAAATGAATAGCTATTGATAAACATTACTCCCTCCATTTAAAAAAAAAACGACGTAGTTTGACTTGACATAGAGTTTAAGAAAATAAAAAAGACTTTTCAATCTTGTGGTTCTAAATTAAATGTCAAATGTACCAAAATGTCATTTAATCTTGTGGCCTTAAATATGCCACGTGAAAAGCTGAAATTAAAGTGTTGCCAAAAAAGTAAAGGGATCATTCTTTTTTAAACAGACTAAAAAGGAAAGCAACTCATTCTTTTTGAAATAGAGGGAGTATAAGTTATCATGTGACTGTGTGAGTATATTTGCAGAAGAATCTCCTCCCATTATGTATTCAAAAAACACAATGTTAACCAAAACAACTTCTATCAGAGAGTGCAATTGTATCCAGCGTCCTGAAATATACACTGAACATGCACAATTATTTTCCACTGAAGATGACTTCAGTTATCTTCAGTGTTTCTGATACATTAAATTTAAGTATAAGGGTGTATCTCCTACTACAGATTAGATAGAGAAGAAGAGCCCCTGCATTATACATGATATGGTATTTATGGCTCCACATATCACATGTTACAGGACACAATCTTCAGTCTTACTTTATGCTGATAATTAAGGACTTCAATACTCTACCAGTTAAAAAAAGAGACTTCTATACTCTACATACACAGATCCCTTTTAAGGGCTTAGTTTGAGTTTCTTGCCACAATATTAGTTTCAGACAAAAGAATAAATATAAATTCCAGTTGCTTGCAAAAATGCCTCTAATAGGAACAGACAAATCTTGAATTCTCAAATCTAACAGCCCTGAAACTTCTTGAAGTTTAACAAATTATTTTTACTCATTTAAGTGTTTAGAATATCCTCTGAAAAGAAGATGCCACACCCACGAAATGAGAGATAATAAGAACCAAATAGCAGAATTCCAATACCTTGCTTTCTAATGGGGACCGCATGCTGCTGCTTGAAGAGATTGCTCTTGTATTTCCAAGCTCTACTTCATCAGAGTGTTCTTCTTGACCAATTGAAGTGTCATATTTACCTCCTGAACAAAGGCTGACTACATCCATGCAAGTAACTTCAATTTCAGAAGTTCTTGAGTCATTAGTTGATACGAGCAATTTACAGTTCATGCTCATTTCATGAGCTTGCACCAGAGGATCAAGCTGAACAGATGGGGAGCTGTATGTGACTACAGCGACTTGCGTAACAGTACTGGGGAAGAGTATTAGTCCCTCAACATATCTGACACGAAAATACTTGATGTTCTCTCCAGCTTCACTTACCTTGACAATGCTCAATATGTAAGGAGAATCATTTCTCACTGACAAAGCAACAACACTAGTACCATCAGTAGCACATGGTTTTACAGTTTGAATAGACAAAAAAAGTGGATCCGTGAGCTCACTGTGAGCAGACATCTTGCCCAGTTCTGCTTTGAGAGGGACAATAATTGTATCAGCTTTACCTTTGGAAGAGCTAAGCAACTGCAGAGAAAAGGCACCAAATATCTCTCCCCTTGTATGACTAGGGAAATCTAATTCTATGATGGTCTCAGTTTTGTCAGGATCAATTTCCCAATTCCTATGGGGTCTAATTGCAACTAGAGGGATACCAACCTCATCACCCTTGACATCCAGCCACTCCTTAACACCAAGCAAGCTGAAATTATTGTTTGAATCTTCACCTTTATTCATATTACAAATTGCCTTTGCATAACGGGTATTATCTCCTGAAGAAATAGATGTCCAAATAGTTACCTCCTCAACATAGAGGGCTTCATTGTAAGGATTATACAAAGAAAGATTCTTACTCAGCCTTCCACTAGAGGAAATATCAAGGCTGACTAAAGGCTGTATGCGATATGGAGATTCAACAGCAAAGCCCTTAGCCTGAACCAAGAAACCACCAAAGCTAGTCTGCAGAACAAACTGCGCTGCAGAGAAACCCAACCATGTAGGCAAAAACACAAAACAAATTGATGCAGTTTCACCAGGTGCCAACAATGTTTCGCTGAAATTGCAAGGGTAAAACTGAGAATTGGTTCCATAAGGTTCAAATACAGTCAGTGTCCTGTCGCTGTGTGTATTTTTAATATTTAGAAAAGCTAATGAAGGAAAATATAAATACTTCTCCCCCCAGTCAAGCAAAGGGGGATTGATTTCTACATGAGGGGAAGAACCACCCAAAATGTTGAAACTGTCTGTCTCGTCTTCTGCTTTTGGTTTCAATTTTTGACATTTATCATCAGACAAAGGCACTTCACCAAAAGAAACACCATTTTGCCTATTCCTTCTTATACAACTACAAGGCAATTCACTGTAACACTCTTGGTAACTCAGATAGCATGAAATTGTTCTTCCACCCAAAAACTTGAAAATACAAGAATCAGATGACCTGCTAAGATTTTTATCCTCTTCATCTGATCCTATATCAACATCAGATTGAACCCCAGAAACTTCTTCCACTTGTGATTGGGCATTCTTCTCTTCAAACAAAAACCCCCGCAATCTGGATGGAAAGCAGAACAAGTCTGTATGTGAACACACGCTATCAAGACTTTGACGAGGTACGGGGTTCTCAAGAACGAAACCAGATGACAAATCACCACTAAAGCCATCCACCTCATTGGGTTTGTAGGACATACATGCATCATACTCTGCTTGGTTTTGTTGTCCCTTCATTGAACATGATTCACCTTTAGCCAGAATAATGATGATATGGAACAGAACCATCATAAAGCAGAATGCTTCACCATGGTGAAACACTCTCCTGAAGAAATTACTAATACAGATTAATAGCTGATGTAAAAAATTAGAACATCAATCATCATTTACAAGAAAGACGAAAACTTTAAACAGCTATTAGGCAGTGGATATGCAAACACAAACTAAAATTTTGGGGAAGGTACTAACACCTCCACCACAACAACTACAAGAATAGTACAAACTGATAGTAGTCTATTATTTCAGGAAGAAAACAAAAGGCACCAATTTTAATAATGAAAAGAAGTCAAAGGGTGTCTCAGTAACTCAGTTGGTTGGGTTGGCTACCTGAACTTTTCACTTTCACCTTGTTGGTGAGGATTCCATTCTCACCTTGTAATCCCCTCCCCCATTTCCCCTTCTCCTGCCCCCCATGTAATAAGAAAAAAGTCAGGAAAAAAAAGGCATTAATTTTGGGAATGAAATGAAAAATAGTACAAGACACAATCAAATAATCTAAAAATAGATAAACAGATAAAGATGACGATTTCTAATAACTCCCATAGAAAAAACTACAAAACGCTGATGCTTCAGCTGTCGGTATTAAATATGCAAGTAACTCATTAAGTAGGAATAGAAGCTAAACAAAGCTTGCAAACTCCAATACTCTCGTTCATAGCTTAAACCATTTTTTTTGCATGTTCAAGCAAGCAAATATACCATAAATAAGCATTCAAAAGCTCCAAAAATAAGAACAACAAAAAGCTACATGAAAAAAAAAATCAATCAACAAAATATAAAATGAAGAGAAAAATTGGTACCGGCGGGAGGAGATGCCGGAGAGATGATATGAAGGTCCGATCATTAGGGTTTGAGAGTCCATTGACGAAGATTGAAAAAGAACATTAGTTCAAAAGAAAAAATGAGTTTATGATGATGGTGGCTAGGGCTTATAAGCGATTGGGATTTTCAACACAAAAAAAAAAAAGGAGAGTCTTGTGAGCAGCACACAAACAAAACAACAAAGACGCAGATACACCTGATAGATAATACACACCCGAATGAAAGGCTCGAATGACGAAGAGAAAAAATAAAAACCGAAAAAACAGAGAGAAAATGACTCATCACACAACAAAATTACTCTACTGCCCCACACAATACACTATTTTCTTTAAATATCTATTTTATTTAGATGGTGGAATTAAACTATTTTATTTTTATCTTTTTTTTATAATCCTGAAAGTATATATGTTTAAAAGGATAAAAGAAGATCTAAGTTTGAAAATGCTTAATCAGAGTCCTTTGGTCACGAAGTTGCGTTTTATACTTAACTAGTATTCGTATCTGCACATTGCGCGGATATTTGAAATACAATAATGTTAGATTAAATTTATAACTTTTATTTTTTATATTTTAATTTATTTCAGTTTATTTAAAATGTCATTGTTCCTCTTTTATCGGAAGGTTATCATAATCTAAAAAATAATAGAAGAAAAAAAAGCATTCACTTGACTTAAAATTGTCGTAAGATCTTATATTATATGCAATAAAATTTTATTTTATTTAAAACAATTCTTATAAAATTTCAAAAATTCTTTTCATTTTATATGCAATTCACTTGGAATTAGTGATATAAAACAACTAAAATGTAATATTACTTTATTAAAATAAATAATAATGTAAGAGAGTAATAGTTAAATAAATATATATTATTATTTTAACAGAAAACTTCTATCGATGCTATCTATATTTGAATAAGTGGCAAATGTTCATCTCAATTTCAATCAAAATGTATAATGATCTCTTGAAAATTATTTATGATTTGTCTTTTTATTGAATTTACCAAAATGGCGATAATAGTGTTAACCTCCACACAGTTGCTAAAGGACTTTCTATATCTAAATTTAGTCGGATTTTAATGTAGACATCGGACATAAAATGTAAAAAAAAAAAAGTTAAAATGTTATTCAAAGATAAGGTATGTATTAAAGATGAAAAAAATTATATATAATTATCAAATAATAGTATGATTTTCAAAGAACAGTGAGCAAAAAAAAATTAAAAAACAGAGATAAAATGACTCATTACGGAATAAAATTACTCAACTATCCCACACAAGAAACTATTTTCTATTAAATATATCTAAATAAATGTATATTTTAGATGATGGAATTAAACTATTTTGTTTTTATTATTTCTTTTAATCCATATATTTTAGAAAGATGAAAAACATTTATATATAATTTTCAATAATAATATGTTTTACTGACTAGTATGCGAATACTTATGCCTATTTTTCTTTAAGTTTGAAGATGCTTAATTAGAGGTCTCAGATTCGAGTTCACTTGTGTATAGAGTCATTTTTGTTAGGGAGTGTTTTACTATCAACATAGGATTTTTTTATTTGAATTTTGTCAAACTTCAATGTGGATATTAAACACTGATAAGAAACCGAAAAAAAAAGTTTGAAGATGTTATTTAGGGGTAAGGTTTATGTAGGGGTGTCAAAGGAATATGAAAAATTGTCTGAACAGATCGAACCTAACTGAATCAAACCGATTTATGTCATTTCTTCAATAAAAACGTGGACTTTTATTTAAGTGTATAACCGTCCTGAACAATTGAGATGATCTTTTTAATTTATGAAAAAACTGAAAAAAATTCGAACCAAACCGAATAACCTTACGTGTATATAAATATATTTTATATATTAAAAATATGTTAAATTTAATATATAAATATAATTTATAACATTTTTCAAATATAAATATAACTTAGATCCTAGGTCTCTGGTGAGTGGTGACTGAACGACTTTGGGTCTTTACTCTTTAATTAATCTTTAATAAATTAAGTTTAAAATTAACGATATTATATAGATATTCTATCAAACAATACACCTAAATGGCAAAACAAATTCCATTCTCCTAATAAATGTTTAAGATCAAATAATACGACAACAAAATTTTACATTCTTGACTTCTTGGTGAAGAATCAAGTGCTTCTTCACGAACATATTTGTGAAAGAATATATTTTAATAATAGTATATTTTGAGGTGATATTTTAAAAAAATGAAAATCAACTGAACCGTACCGATATCGATGAGAAAGCCATATGATTGGGATGGTTTTAAAAAGTCTAATTTTGATTATATATTATAAAAATACCCAAAAATGAAATGGTATAAATTCTTAATAATAATCGACCGAACCGTCTCATTGACACTCATAGTCTTATGTATGTTTAATCCTTTTCAAGGTAAGGCTAGTGAAGTGTTTGTTTTATGCCTTCAAAATTTTGAGGATTCAATTTTTTTTAATATTTATGAATTTTATTTTATTTAAAATAATATTAAAGATTATAAAAATAAATAGATACAAATATATTCTTAAAGAAAAGAACTATGCACATTATCATAAATATTTTAAAATTTTGAATTAAACAATTCAAATATTCATATTATTAAATAATATTTTAACAACAACATCTAAGGCATTGTATCGCAGACACATGGCTAACATGTTATTAATTAAAATTAATATTCACTTGGGTAATAAATATTCTGTGTGAATTTGATGGTTATATTTCTCTTAAAATAGTACTCTTAACTACCAAGTAGTAATATGTATAGAAAAACAATTCTAACTATGATTATTACTATATACTTAATTTCGTTTATTTAAATTTAATTTTCAATCCAAAAAAAAGGAGAGTCTTATGAGAGGAGCACACAAACAAAACAACAAAGACGCAGGATGAGGGTACACCTAATAGATAATACACACCCGAATGAAGGACTCGAACAATGAAAAGCAAAAAATAAAAATTGAAAAAAGCAGAGAAAAAATGACTTATCATACGACAAAATTACTCAACTGACCCACACAACACATTATTTTCTTTAAAAACATCTAAATGTAGTACTCCCTAACAAATCATAAATAACAAAATAATTTTACTAATTCACCCCTTAAAAATTTACTTGAGAATTTTATAAATAAATGTAAAAACTTTCAAAAATAATTAATTGAAAGAGTAATGTTTTTTTGATTTAGTAAGATGAACAACTAATATGAGACAATTATTTTTAGTATAACGATCAATTAATATGAGATTGAGGAAGTATTTTAGATGGTGGAATTAAACTATTTTGTTTTTATCTTTTCTTATAATCTTAAAAAATAATATGTTTAGAAAGATGAATTATATATAATTTTCAAATAATAATACGATTATCGATTAGTACGTGAATGTCTATGTCCATTCTTTTTAAGTTGAAAGATGCTTAATCAGCGGTTTCAGATTCGAGTCCACTTGCATATGAAGTTGTTTTTGTTAAGAAATGATTTACCATCAATGCAGAACTTTCTGACGTGAATTCGTATTCAATCAATCTTCAATACAGATATTGAACATCAGATTGAATCTAAAAAAAAAAGTTTGAAAATACTATTTAGGGGTAAGATTTATGTATGTTTAACCCTTTTTAAACTTCACTTACAAAATTATAATATTAGAGGTGACTAGAATGAGGCTAGTAAAGTGTGTGTTTTATGACTTCAAAATTTTGAACATTCAAAAAAAACATAAGAGTAAATTTTTATGATTTTTATTTTATTTAAAATCATATTAAAGATTATAAAAAATAAATATATACAAATATATACTTAAAAAGGAACTATATACTTTATCAAAACTATTTTAAAACTAATAATTAAACAACTCAAATATTCATACGAATAAATAATATTTTTACAATAACATCTAAGGTAATATATTGCAAACACATGATGGATATGTTATTAACTAAGAATAATATTTATTTTAGTAATTAATAATTATATGTGAATTTAACAATTAAATGTCTTTAAGAATTCTTCACTAAAAATAAGTAATATGTGAAAAAGATTAAAAAAACAATTCTAGTTATTTATTTTAATTATAGTTATTAAAATTTGATTTTAAGTCACTAATTTTATTGAAACGAATTTGTACAATGATACGTTGAACTATTTCTTTTCTTTAAAAAGACTTGTTGGATATAGTTGTAGAAAATTCTTTCTCTATTCATTACCGCTATTGAAATCATAAGTTTTGTCAATTTTTTTCGACAATCATGAACACCGAATAGGCGATGTCACGATGTGAATATAGCTCAACCATTAATCAAACTTCTAGTACACTACGTCCAACCGTTATTATTCAATTTATTCCCTTGAAACTTATCATTTATCTATCTGAAGAACTCAAGATGATATGCGAAGATGAGAAAGTGGAACAAATAAATACCCTTAACAAGAATTCACAATATGTGGTAGTGAATAAATTTTCATATTGATGACAAGATGTTAAGAGTTAGGCTCAAAAGACGAACAAGTAGAAAAAACTTTAAAACACACAAAAGAAAATAAGTATTCACCAATCAAGGTTAATCAATTATTCTTGAACACATCAACTTCTTTATTTTTTATATCAAAATGTGTCTTTTAAAATCACACAAATAATTAATCACTTTAAAATATTTTCAAAAACTAATAGTAAGTTATATTGGGACTAGAACTATTTTGCTGTCATATCTTTTTTGACAATACTATTTTGAAAAAATATTTTTTCGGGCAAAGGTCTACCAACTCGATATTTTTCTACAAATTAAAGTTTTTCTCTCTTGAAAATTAGTAACTTTCATTTTTAACATCAAAAATATATATTTTAACATCACACACATATTTTTATAATTAAATATTTTGAAATATAGTAGTAAGGTAAGAATTATTTTTATATATTTTTTAACTAAGTAATCTCAGTACTGATTAGTACGTGAAGGTTATGTCTACTCTTTTTGATACACCAAAAGAAAGTTTGAAAATGTTATAAGATTTGTGTATGTTTTATTATTTTCAATCTCACTTATGAAATTATAATGACAATATGACTTAATGATAACGCTAGTAAAGTATTTGTTTTACGCCCTCAAAATTTTGAGGACTCAAAAGAAATTAATAATGAAATTTATTGATTTTAATTTCACTCTAAATAATATTA